ATATCCCCTTAAAATTATCCTTTTGTTTATGTATTGTAATGATGAATAAGCTAATTATCCTCATTTGGCCATCACATATTATACACAAATATTGATAGTCAACTCTGTTCTCCACAAATATGTATAATCAATTAAGTTTCAATAAAGCAAATAAAAAATAAAGAGAAAAGAACATTGAATATAAAAAACAAATCCATTTGTTTCTCAAATTACAATGAGGAGAATGTTTGAAGAGAGAGAAACAGTAGGGTAGAAAAGTTACATCTCTGAAAAATAAAGGAAAAAAACTTGATAAGGAAAACCACTGTGAAGGTGATTTCCTCTGATGTCTCTACAGGTCACCTGTGGAGTTCACTCTGGGTGAAACAAGGGCCCGGGTCCCAGGGTGAAAGAGACAGAGTCATTGTGTGTGTACAGCTCCCTCCAGACATGTTACTGATAACACAAGCATGTTGTCTTTAGGTTAGGGGCAGCGCCTCACTCAAGGGAAGAGACAACCAGCTGAAAGGTAAAGAGGATAAAATATTTGGAGTGCGATTATTATTCTATGCTTTATATTCACAGAAGACTCTACGGACACTCCTGAACCAGGCACATGCTGGGCTGTGTCCTGTGAAGAATAGCTGTCTCATCAGCGACCACCCTCCCCCACAGCCAAGGCACATTCGCTGATGATGGCTGGAAAAGATGACAGGGACCATGAATTGACCCATGCACGTTCTCTTGACAGAAATACAACACCTCGTCTTAGCTAAAGACCTAACTGACCAAAAATCATTCAGCTAGAAAAATCTTTTAGCAAATTTTAAAATTATCATTATCTAATTATACTTCAAACGAATTGTTTATTTAAATTAAAAACTATAATTAAACTCAAAGTTCTTATCCCTCTATGTTGAGACTTAGGCTACGCTTTCACAGGTGTGTCTAACTTTCCAGTCTCGGTCTCATACCAAGGAGCAGAATTATGATCGAGGCATAAATACAACTAAAGCCAATTTAATGCTGAACTTTTGGAACTGAAGTACAAACAGAAGGAAAATAAATGTGTTAATAACTGTTTTCACTACTGTGTACATCACTGTTTCACTAATGTAGACATTAAGGCATTTGGAACTATAATATTCAATTATCTACACCTAAAGTAGATGACACAGGGCCGGCCCATGGCTCACTTGGGAGAGCGTGGTGCTGACAACACCAAGTCAAGGGTTAAGATCCCCTTAC